GGGGGGGAGAGCAGCAAGGACCTCACGAACCTTGTCTGTCTGCGCCCCGCCCCCGCGCAAGGGAGGGAGAGGGTTGGGCACGGGCGCCTACCGCGCCTGCGCCGCCCTTCATGCGCGGCGATCGCGAGCCGCCCGCAGGGGCGGCGGCCGCACGAGCGTGCGGGTCGCCGGAGGGCTCTCTGATGGGACGCACCGAGCCGCCGCCGGAGTCTCCATTTTGCGGCGCTTGTACGCGGCCGCGAGCCCCGAAGGTCTCGACGCGGGCGGCGAGAGGTCGGGTGAGTCGAAGCCGTTGTCGGCGGGCTCGTCGGACATCGAGAGCCACAGGCTAGGGTAAGGGCGGACGGCCGCACCGTCGCCCGAGGGCAGGCCCTCCGAGGGCCCGCTTGGCGCCGACGCAGGGTCGGTCCGGACGGCAGAGTCATTCTGGACCGCCGGGAAGAGAACCGAGCGCGCCGAGGCGGAGGTCTGCAGCCCGACGGCGCAGAGGCGGAGCGGCGCGCGGCAAAACGATGGCGGGAGCATGCCGGTAGAGGTGGTCACAGCACCCTTCACTAATGAGGTCCGCGGCGGCGTCCAAGGCACCGTCTTGCATGGAGAGGAGGAGGGAATAGACCGGGCGGCGGCGTCTCCGCAAGGAGGCGCCGGCCCGTCGCCGCGCACGAGCGGCGACCGCGAGGCTCCCTGCATCACGTTAGAGAAGCTCTCGCAGCTTCTCTGGCGCGAAAGCAGGTTCAGATGCACAGCCGATACTCGGCGACATGAAACGTCGAACTGTCGAACTGTCGAAGTTGTGGGAAGCTTGCGCACCCTTCTCCCATTCGCAATCAAAGGCGTTCACAGTTGAAGTATTTCTTCTCTCTCTCTCTCTCTCTCTCTCTCTCTCTCTCTCTCTCTCTCTCTCTCTCTCTCTCTCTCTCTCTCTCTCCCTCTCTCTTCCGCCTGCGCCTGCGCCGGCCTGCTCTGGGACGGCGCGCCACCGCTCGTCGTCCAGCATGTGCCACCACCGCCGATCCGGACAAAACATTGCTAAAAATCTCTCTCTCCGATCCGGGTAGCCGTCGTACTCGACCTGGTGCACGATCCGTCCGTCCACGTCCTCCTCCCGCCCCATGATGGTAAGGTAAGGTAAGGTAAGGTAAACTTCTCCACACACACGAGGTGGTGGGGCAAGGGGGGGCAACCCTCGCGTCTCCACGTCTGACGACAGGAGCCCCACGGCATTCAAAGTGCAAGGCCCAGTGCGCGTGGGTGAGCGGTGTGTGTGTGTGTGTGTGTGTGTGTGTGTGTGTGTGTGTGTGTGTGTGTGTGTGTGTGTGTGTGTGTGTGTGTGTGTGTGTGTGTGTGTGTGTGTGTGTGTGTCACGTCACTGCATCCTCCGCCGGTTCCTCCCGTCGCCTCTTCTTTGTTCGAATGTTTTTCAATCCATCCTTCACGAAGCCCTCCCATGTAGCTAGCGTTCTTGGCGAATGTCTCTAAATGGCCAGCAGGCGCTGTCTGCTCGCGGTCTGTGCGGGCCGCTCGTCCTCCTCGCCCTTCTTTCGTCCTCCCGTCCCTCCCCTCCACCATGGCCTTCTCGGCACTTCTTTCTCCATCCGCCTCGCCCTGCCTTTTCGCATCGTGCCGTTCGCCCTCCATTCGGTGACCTCCATGGCTGTCCGCCCCTTTTTGGGTGGCGCTCTCGATACGGTTGCGTCAACCTCGACGTCGCTGTCGCCCTCCCCGTCCCCGCCGGCGTCCGTGCCTCGGTTCGCGTCATCGGTAGCGTCTCCGTTGTTCCCTCGTGCCCCGCCGTCGCCCTCTCTGCTCGGGCCGTTAGCGATTTCGCTCCTCCTGCGTGTCGCCCCTCCGTCCCCTCCCCTTTCTTCGTCGTCATCGTCGCTGTCGCGAAAGCCCTCCGGTCCCTCGATTCCCTCGCCTATCCCCTCCGCTGCGTCGTCCCAGTTTATATCCTCATCCTCTGCGCACGTCGCGTTGGCTTCCTCTCTCCCCCTTTCCTCCCTGCCCCTCTCGCTGTCTGGTGTTAATGGACGGCACCCCCTTGCACGGAATCTGAGCGTGAGGGAATCTGAGCGTGAGGGAATCTGAGCGTGAGGGAACCTGGGCAGCGCCGCGTAGTGCGGCGTGCGCGCGGGCGTGCGCGCGGGCGTGCGCACACGTGCGCGGGCGTGCGCGCGCGGGCGCGTAGTGCTGCGTAGTGCCGCGTAGTGCCGCGTAGTGCCGCGTGCGCGCACGTGCGCGCACGTGCGCGCGCGTGCGCGCGGGCGCCGAGAAGGTGATCGCGTGCCTGACCCATTTCGCGACTAAACAGATGGTAGACTATCTCGTGATCTGCCCGAGCGGGCGCATGCAGCTGTGGGTCAGCGCCCTCCAGCAGCTCGCCCCCTCGACCCGCGTGCTCGTCAACCAAGGCACGCCAACTCAGCGGAAGAACGCTCTGCTGTCACAGCCTCGCGATTATGATCTTCTGCTCACGCCGTACAGCCTCGCCATCAAGGACACTCTGCACCTCTGCAAACTTCGATGGAAAGTCGTCGTCTGGGACGACGGTCTGAGCGAGCTGCGGCGCGGCTTTCGCGAGGGGTCCCAGACCTGGGCACTCCATCAAGGCGTTAATAAAAGGGCCGCGCACTGTCGCACAGACTACAACATCCTGCTGTCTCCGGCTCGCGTGACAAACGCGGACTACCTTCTCTGGCTGGTGCACAACCACCTTGGCGCGAGGCGTGGCTCGCATCGCTGCAGCACATCCTTGATCAGGTGAGCCGGCCGACTGTGGCCGCTAGTGTGTGAGCAGAGAGTGATTATCGCGCACGCAATCGCGGCGGCCCTCGGCCCTCGTGGTCGTCTTTAGTGTTGCCGATCCGGGCGGGTGTCGGCCGTGCCACGTATGCGTGCTCGGAAAGCGAAGGCGGTACGTTCTACGCTGAAGCCGTATCCGCAAACCAATCCCCGGGGATACCCCCAGCGGCCGCGGTAAAGAGCCGTAGAGTACGGTGAGACTGATATCTAGACCTGATACCCCGCGTCTCGCACGGTCAAGGTCAAGCGGGTCCGGACGATGAGGAAACCAGCCGGATCGCGAGGCCGCAAGCTGGCTCGGCGGCAGCCGCCGGCATGCCGTCTATGTTTTTGCGCGTAGGGCGTATAGCACACGCCATCACGCCACAGTCACGTATACGGTACTATGCTGACGTCTGCTAGAGCACGACAGTATCACGAACCCCAGCCCTCTTTCATCTACACTCTCAGCTCTCACACTCAGATGGTTTGGCGGCGACGGAGGATGGCGGGTTGTTGCAACCCGGAGTGGCTTCAGACTCCACCGTCTCGGCCGTCGCCACCTCACCCGCTTCCATAGCTGCCACAGTCCGTCGGATGGTGCTTTCGTGGCCGACGCCGCACATTGCATCGCGGCAAAAGATGGCTGTTGCCGCGGCCATGACAAACGCGGCGAGGCCGCCGCCAACAGCGAGCATAGGTACGAACCATGATGGCGGGTCTGACTTCTCGCCGCCAGTTGCGACGCCAAACGGCAAAGTGACGCCGATGATGACCAAGGCTCCGACGGCTGCAACTGCCATGATTACAATCCATAGCCGCTGAGAGCAGGTGATCTTTGGCTGCCAAGCCAACCCTCGTGTGGCCTGCATCGTAGCGGGCGAAGCGGGGAAGAAGCCCGGCATTGCGGGGTATGGCAAGCGCCAGGGTTGAGGTTTTGGGCGTGTGTGGTATGGTCTTGAAACAAATGAGAGAGAGAGAGAGAGAGAGGAGAAAAAAAAAACCGCCAATGGCCGTTATCCGTTAGTGCGGACGTCGCCGCGGCTCGCCTCTGCCGCGGCGGCTGCTGCGCGCACGCGGCGGCGCGGCTCTCTCGCGAGACGGCTCACGGCCCCAGAATCCGAATGCCTCTCAAGCACCGACAGGTCGCAGCGAACGACGGCTGCGCGTGTGCTCCCGACTGGGGCCTGCGACGACGCAATGTTCATGTCTACCCGGCGCGCTGCGGAGGTCGGAGCTTGGGAGTTTGGCATCCACGGATGGGTTTTTGCCGCGAATGGGAGCCGGCCGCATGTGCCCAATCTGGCGTCGGAGCGGGCGGCGGCGCTGCGCTCCCTCCGGGAGACGACAGCGGTCTTTATCGGCGACTCCAACCAGCGCCATCAGTACAGCGCCCTGGCCTATTTTCTCCAGCATTCCGGATGCCGCGTCGTCGGTCTCCATTTAGAGTTCGCGCGTCCAAGCTCACATCGTGCGTCCCAAGTCCGGTCGCAACGAATTTTTTTTTCACGAACACAGAGGCACAATGCGCACCCCGACCCGATCACAGGGCGTGCATCACCGAGTTGTATTTCTTTTTTCCTCAGTCCCCTAAGTGTAGAAAATGGCCGCGTTTCTCCTCCCTGCCCTCGGCTTCATCGCCGGCCGCGGCTGCCAGCGCTTCGGCTTGCCTCACGCCACGCGCTCCGGGCCGTGGTGCGCCGCTGACGCATCGTCACCTCAAGCGGCGCTGCTCAGCAAGATGCAGGCGATGCTTGAGAGCGGCGCGACAGAGTCCGCGCTGCTCGCGCTGCTGGAGAAGGAGCAGGTCGGGCCGGCCGAGTGCGGCGCACTCCTCGCCGACATTGCGCGCCTTCGCGAGGAGGGCTCCCTGCCGGACGCGGGCGACGGCGAGTTGGGCGATATTGACCTCTCGTTTGGCGTTGAGGAGGAGGAGGAGGCGGAGGAGGGCGTGATCGACCTCGAGCCGGCCGCGGTGGCGCCGACGCCAACGCGCGGCGAGCAGCCGTGGGGCCGATGGGAGAATGGCGAACGGTGTGCGCACGTCCCGCCACTGCTCTCTCTCGTTTGCTCTCCTGCCCTCTGTTGCTCTCCTGAGACCGCGGTGTAGTGAGACCGCGGTGTAGTTGCTCTCCTGAGAGTGGGGCCGCCGGGACAGAGCCACACCTGCGCAGGCAGCAAAGGTGGGCGGCGTGAGCGCGCGCGGTGCCGCGCCACGGCATGCGAGAGCGCCAGGCCGGGCGTACCCCCATCAGCGATGGAAGCTCCAAGCCGGCACACAGCTCCGCGACGACTGTCAGAGAGTAGGTGTTGCCTCTCTCGAGCCTAGGCTCTTGAGGGCCGCGGTGTAGTTGCTCTCCCCACGCGGGTGTAGTGCTTCTCCCCAGTGCTCCGCACTCACCGCACTCGCCCTGCCGGACAGCCTCACCCGAGACCGCGAGAGGGTAGGTGTGCGAGCGTCTCTCTCTACCTCGACGACGCCGTCAAGGGGCGCGACGTCTGCTGCGAGGTGGTGGAGGGCTGGCTGCTGATCCGAATCGACGAGTCGCGCGAGGTCAACGCACACACACACACACACACACACACACACACACACACACACACACACACACACACACACACACACACACACACACCAATCACACACACACACACACACACACCAATCACACACACACACACACACACACACACACCAATCTCTCTCACACACACCAATCTCTCTCACACACACACACACACACGCGCGTGCGCGCGATCGGGCCTTGCACTTTGCATGCCGCCGGGCTCGCGTCTTTCCGGACGTGGACTCGCAATGTGCCGACAAGTTGGCCTGGCCGGATCTGACCTGACCTGAGCTGACCGTAGGTGTTGTACGAGGACGGAGTGTGGGGCGGAGAGGAGGAGACAGCCTGCCCATCGCCCGCGCGCAGCCCCCCACGCCACCGCCCGCCGCCGCGCGCCACGAGCGACCGAAGTCTCGCTGATGGGGCATATCTCCCCATATCTCCCCTGATTGTCGTTGACCGGTCCGCCCATACCCCCATATCTCCCCATATCTCCCCTGATTGTCGTTGACCGGTCCGCCCATACCCCCCATATCTCCCCATATCTCCCCTGATTGTCGTTGACCTGCCGCACGGTCCGCCCATACCCCCCATATCTCCCCATGTCTCCCCACATCTCTCGCCTTGGTGGTAGTACTGGTAGCTCTGCTCCATATCTCCCCATATCTCCCCATATCTCCCCACATCTCCCCACATCTCCCCTGATGTCGTTGACCTGCCGCCCGCCCGCTCCCCGCGGCGATGAGGAAGCAAACAACTCGTTAGATAGGGACAGATGACGCGTAAAAGCGGAGGATTCTGACCATGTTTGGCTGTGGTTCTGAGCCGCCTGCCCCC